TGACACATGAAGTGTACTCGTTGTGCTACTTTTTCCATGCAATAAGGTCATGATGAATTTCCAGATCGCTCTGATCATTGAAGTCTTAGTGTATTTTCACTCACTCACACATTGTCGCTCATATTATATACAAAACCTCAGTGTGGTTGGGAGTGGTTGTCTTGGGTTCTATCTACTCACTTACTCCGTTGCGCCTTGTGAAATGCTATTATACGACTCAGAACCCCTACTCACACTGCCTTCACATGGTGGAGGTGTTTCCCCAACAAAGCGGTANCCAAGATCCTGAGCTATAGTCGTGTTGGTGAATCATGGGCAGTTCACCTAGATATTGGGCTGGAAACCCTGATTCCAAACTAATCACGAAGAGGCCTACGAATCACACCTACCAGGTCATGGTAGTGGTCATCCCCTTGATTAGGAGACTGGGTTCATGAAGTGCCTTGTATGTCTGACCCCGTCGGAATCCATGAACTGGGCACAGGTTCCCACATATTTTACGGGTTAGGTTTGGGCTCGCGAAATGAATTCACCTTCTTTGACCTATCCACAAGCAAATCACGGACGGCTTTCGTTGTTATGAAAACTATACTACCATGTTTTGTTTGGTACTTTCTAGACTCACGGAGGATTGTGAAATATGATAATAAAAATAAGTTTTAGAAATAAGAATGTATCATTCCGAGCCAATGTGATACTTGTATTACAGGATTTGCGGTGAATTTTGGCGAACTATTTGCTAAAACACAGCCTCGTCCCATGTGCAACATGTAATGAAAACCGTTGATTACACCCTGAGTGATGCACCTATCCACTTGATTCAAAATGAACCGATTCTGTAGATTCGTTCATCGCACACGGCACACTAGGGTGTGTGAATTCCATCCGTTCAAATGTCAATAGCTATTTCTACTGTGTTCACATATGCTTTATAGTTCCACTCAATGCACATCAACCGTATTCCAATCGATCCAGTGCTGCGCTAGTTTCGATCATAGTTTTGTACGTGATAACACCAGGGTGTGAAGTCGTTCCGTTCAAGTGATCCATGCAGCTGATGCATCTAATGATTCCTTGATGTGACATGATACGATTGTACGATCCCAAATGCATGTATTCACATGACCGGCATCTGTTAATTCTCGCCAAATTGAGTCACATTGCTTTACAAAAAACCGTCGCGGAAATCGACTATCCATATGGCCTTAAAAATGCCGGTGCAACAGCACATCTTCAAACATGTGACAAAGTGGTTCCAACACTATCCGTTTATATACATATACATATATATATATATACCTTTAAAATAGACAAGCCTTATTGAATTCTTTGTGCCTAATCTGGTGTATGCACTCTCCGGGGTGTCCACAACCGCGGTTATTCGTAGTTTTCTGTGTGCAATATTTTTCATGTCTCACTCACTGTTCCATCATATCGGCTCTTGATATCGTCCAATTCTCGAGCGGTATTTTTGAATAATCAGAAAGATCATTCACTCTATCTAATCATCTGATTTTGTCATCTCTACCCGTTTGCTTCGTCCTTTCAGCATCCGTTCCATGATCGACTTCGAATCACCCTCGTTGGATTAGGCACGCTCTCAGTCCCCGGACTACCTGATCGCATCATTCAGTCTTGTTTTGCTCTGATTGTCTTCCTTTTTTGTTACCTATCTATACGCAAAATTAGACTATACTTTTGGATATGATTTCACTATGCTACTGGTCTTCTTTTTTCCTATTAGTCCATTGATGCTGGTTGTGGTATTATGGACTTCTCAACTGGTAAATTCGAACAATCAATGTGCGGTTAAATTGGGAAAGGTTCAGTAACTATGGTGAAATTTGAATACACGCATAGCTAGCTACACTTTCGCACAGCGTACGCTCTGCCTGCTGATCCAACTAAGTCCACCTTGGATTGCCCATTACTTGACAATTTCTTTTACACCGATTCAACTTATTCACAAGGTGTGGGGTGGGTGGATAACTATGTTCGCAGTAATTTATATTAAAGAATGACTGATGTGACGAGCTTTGACCCGTGTGTGCGGTAGGATATCCCACCCCCGTGAACGGATGCGCACCGGACAATCGAATGTAGACTGGAAGTGTCGACAGACATGAACCCCATCTCCGGAGTGTGTGAACTGTCACCCGTTCGTGGGCAAACTGTAGACATCATGAACTCACAGATTCAGTGAGACATGAACACCACTCACACAGGTATGTAGTGCGCTTCGTTTGAATTGACTCAGAAATATCAAAAGCAAGAAGTAGATGCAACAACAGTGATGCTTGTACAATCTGGTCGGTCGATTCTCACTCCGACCCTGTGGTCTTTTATTTGACAGTGTGGCGAACCGATCTATCTTCAATAATGTCTCAAAAAATGAGCGACTGCACGGCTCCAGTGCGCCGCAGCATTTGTTACACGTCCTATTTCTTATCCGACCGTATGGGCTAAATTGACGACTTTGGCTTTGGCGCATTAGGAGTAGAGGTGTTTTGTGACACTCATTTGCATTCGTCTCTGCATGTGTAGCATTCCCTTCTGGCTTCCCATTGTTTTACTGCATCAAGGCTGCTTCTTTGATCAGCGCGTGTTTGCTTCCAATTTTTCACACACTTCTGTGTATGCTCTTTTGGCTCTGCATGTTTACAATACAACCGTTGTACGTTTTCTGAAGTGTCTCGTTCTGTTCTGTACGAACCTCGGTTTACGACATAGCCTGATTGACTCGGGGTTACGATTGGACCGCGCCTACTCAGGCAAGTATTTTTTTGTGGGGAAAATGACACTGAAGAAAATCTCCCTAACCGTCCCAGTAAAGTTATATAAATTAGGAAGAGAGTAAGATGCATGAGCAATATTGTGTCGTCACCTTACACTTTAAACCGGTCCACTGTTCTGGTACCACAGACGCGCATCGATGCACAAATTCCACCGTTGTCGTTGTATGCTAATCAGATAAAAAAAGATTGAATTTTCATGTCAAACAGTGCTGAATTTTTGTTTCAAAGGTTGACGTTACAAAGAATGACGCACAAACGAGGAAGTGTGTTGTACAGTTGATAGTCATGATAGCGTCAAACGCTGCACGGCTGATCGATTGGAGAATCCAGATCTTGTAAATGCAAAAACGATTTACCGTCTATCTTACGATAAAGATTTTTACCTACTAGAGTGGTGCGTTTCGGGCACTCGCCCTTGGCTTTTCGTCATGTGATTTTCGATTCGTCAACAAAACGTGGTGACAGGTTGCCGTAAAATTCGTTGTATGTAAGCTCCATCTCGAAATTTTGATGGCGCTAATACGAATGCAACGAAGAGACCCCACTGCTCGATCAGCGCTTGTGGTCAAGGGAGAGTTACCGAATATGCACACATGCATACGATGATTTCAAAGAAAACTGAAACAAGCCTTTCCCGAGATTAATTTCAAAAGAAAAAACATATTGCAATACTGCACGATTTATGTCCAGGACGATTTCGCTGCATCTCAACGTGGTGCATAATGCAGAAAATACGATGTTTATATAGGGCTTCAGCGTAGCAACTACTAATTAGGAAAGGACTCTCATAGCCGGATCTTGCAAAACGAAGTTCAGTGTCTAGCTCATCAAATGTGTATATGCTGTGGTTGAAGTTGAGGCACTTAAACGGATGAATGAATCGAATACTGTATGAGCTCCACTTCTATTCTGGGGCTGATCATTCAGCCTACGGGATGAAACTGGGATATTGGCAAATCCGAGGAAAAATGTCATGCTAATTGGTTGAACAATAACCGAAACTAACCACAATATATGCTTCTTTCGCGGCTAGGGACGCTCAGAAATGGGTTATGAAAAGCAGTTCCAAATTTCCCATCCAATGAGGCACCTTACTTGAGCATCACAATGCTCATTTGTTCTCGTCTTCACGAAATGTGAATATCACGTGTTTGTAATGAGTTGTTCCGCGTCTGACGCTACGAAGCATCCAGTTGCTCCGGTACTCTGATCCGATTTCGACTATTTTTGATCTGAAGTTATCGGGAAACTATTACCGCCACGTTTCCGGTGCTGGTATCATCTGTTTGCGGTTACCGCTCCGATTACCCATAGCACCTGCAGATCTGAGCACAGTCAGGATATGCTCATTGAAATTCTGCCTTATGCAGGTACAACCTGAATGCCTTCATGGAAAGATGGTTACAAACTCGTTCAAACCAGCGGTGTGAGGTGTTGTGAAAAATCGACATTGTTTTACTACTTTAGAACACTTCTACAATTATTGCCCAGGTTAGAATGTGTAGTTTTGCCTGGACAGATTCACAATCCCTCGGTTGTGTGGTGATCAATTATTCCACCTCATGATGGTGGGAACATAGTGAGTCGTATTGTTTGCTAGCGCCTATGTATGAGATGTCCAGTTACAATTATAGGGGTAACCTAACCTAACCAAAGGACAGCCCAATAGGTTGGTAACCAACATGAACGTAACAGTAGACGGCGAAATAGTTTACCTTGAGTGCATTCGTCACTGACTCGTGGGATATTCCTTGGGCTAGGCTTTAGTGAAGAGCTGAGGTGAACTAATCCCCTTCAGCACTGGGCTTCTCACAAATATCAGTGTTTGTTTCATTTGAATGACGGTGCCGTCTTCCCTTTCTCGTCCTTGTATCAGTTCCTTGGCGGTGGTTACTTAAGGCCTCTGCATGACTAAATTCTGTGCTCAAAAAGTAGCTACTCATAAGTAGTACAATACAAATAATGGTCAGGAAAAAAATATATGACAAGATTACCGGATACGCATGCCTGGAGAGCGGCAACAACCGCGAAACCGGTCGTGTGCTTCGAGGGAAATTTTGTCCAGTCATTCACATACCACTTATTATCAAATATTCTACCAAGACCATCAGGTCACGTTTGTTGCGGCTAGTAGCATCTAACCCACTCACAAAACATCGAATCATTGATTCTTCATTGGACTAGCTCTGAAAGAGCTGTCTATCCAATGGTCACCCGGCGTCGCAAACAAGGTTATTGTGACGAAAATACACTTCCTGGGTACAAGTATATGAATGAACTGACAAAAGATAACCGGATACGTATGCCCGACGAGCGGCAAGAACCACGAAACCGGTCGTGTGCTTCGAGGGAAATTTTGTCCAGTCATCCACGTACTACTTATTATCAAATATATATATATATATAACAAATATTATAATCGCAATAATAGTGGTAAACGAACTAGCACAATAAATTTTAACTAGGATAATTCTGTATGATGAAAGACGGGCACGAATAGCGATAATACGTGGATCACTTAATGGCACACCCAAAAGGGCGTTGACTACAACCAGCTTCTAAACGGGTTACGTGATTCTCAAACAACCAATTCACTGCCGGTTAAATCAGAAAAGACTTATAGTTGTGGTAGAAGTGTATTGGAGCACGGTAGCGCAAGTGAAATTTGCTTCTAAGCACGAATGCAACCATCAAGCGCGATGGTGTGCAAATCGATCGTAAAAAAATGTGAAAGCCACCAGCGTAGAAGGATACAGTTGTTAGAAATCGTGCAAAGCCGTTGTCACAGAGCGTTGCTATTGAGATACTAAGGTGAACATACAATTAGATTTTCGCGGAAAATTGATTGCTGACAAATGCCTGGTAGTGTAATTATTTCATCGTACAACCGCTCACACTACACACCCTCAGAAACATTTGTCATCACGGTACCGTGCATCACAAAATACAAAACAATACTAATGCAATATAATGGCAATTTTAATTTAGCAATAGCTGTGCCTGAATGAACTGATGGTTTTGCGTTATCCGCCAACAATGATGACCAGTTTAACGTGTATAATCATACCATTCATAAGTAGCATAATATTAAACAAGACTTACTTGTGGTGAGTTAGACTACCAATCGATCGTGCAGCAAAAGGAAGTTAAATTTTTAAACATCGAAGTAATTTTCTCATATGTCGCAAAAATGTATCAGTACCATTGGTAAATGTCTAGATGAAGAAACCGACGCACGTTCGATTCTGTACCTATTCAGGGAAATGTTTGCCATGCGTGGCCAGTTCTTACATGATGAAATTAATAATTAGCTTCGGTTCCGTTCGATGCCCAGAACGTTGATGGGAGTTTTCTAGGTTGTCCAGTTTCTTGCAGTGGTGATCTCCAAGGATATCCTTGGGGCTGGCGACAATAGGATGAATAGGTTCCTCTTCTTGGGTGTTGTCAAAGGCAGTATCACTTTTCGACAAGTTTTTCTGCACGAATAGAACAACATATGTTATTTTAGTACAACCTCACGTCAATAGAGTCCGGATTCCAAAGAAACTGCAGCGCATGCATCAAATGATCACACAAACACATCGTAACCAAATGATGTTAGGAGTGTATCGATAAAAACACACAAACACTTGCGATAATTTCGTAATTATGGTCCGGTCTTGCAATTATTTTCTGATTAGCCTAATTTCTGCAATGACCAGTGTTTCCCTACTGAAATAATTTATATTCGAACTGATAGGTTTTTCTCGCAACTGCTCCGTGCTAAAGAGACGGCTTACATGACCGGTGGGCGTAAC